TTTTTTACAGGAAACCATGGCAATTGTGCTGCAATATTTTAGTTTGGTCTAATACTCTCTTATGATTGCGGCAGGATGATAAAGTGAGGAGGCGTAATGAATGGACGAAGTGGATATCAACTACTGGTCAGCTTCCACCTGAGTCAGGTTCACCATCCACACTATCCTCCAGTGTATTAAGTGATAACACGCTTGCAAATTCTTTCGAAAAGATGACTGTGGAAGGACCTAGCCAAAATAGCATGGGAGGTAAACCAGATCCAAACTCTCTGGCTATTCCAGAGAGTTGTTCAACCGAGTCAACTAGCCAAGCACAACTTCCTAATGGGGATGTTACTCAGACTGATCATTGAAGTCAAAGTAGATGTGTACCACCAAAAAGATTCAAGCAAAATCATGGAGAAAAAGTGCAGTTCCAATTTTGAAGGGTTTGCTAAGGTAATGGGGGAAGGGAGGTAGCTGTTTAGCCTGTATCGAGGGCGTGCGAATTCTTTTCTTTATAAATCTGTTACTTTGCCTAGTTTTGGAATGCTTTTGAGGCTAGTACAGGAAACAAATAAGAAATAACGATAATTATTCGTCAATTGAGAAGAAAGAGAAGAAGCTGAAGAGATCGAGCAAAGGCAGAATTTGGAGGTCATTGGTTTGTATAGTTTGGATTTGGTGTGAATGTTTGCGGGTTTATTTTTTGGCGCGCCGAAAGAAGAGCTTAATTTGAGATGTTATAGCTAAAGGGCATATGTAAGCATTTATTTTTTTGGTGCGCAAGACTCCACTTATGGAGTAGAGGTGTGGATTTGAGCTGCGGTGCGCTCGTGTTTGTTTCCACCCAAGGATGGTTAGACCAATTGCTTGAATTTTCACAGTTTTGTACTCTTTTAGCTTTATGTAACTTTTGCCCATCTTTATTTCTGTTGTTCCCAAAGTATTCTTTCTTCCTCTACATATAATCTCTCCCTCGATTGCCCTAAAACTTTCCGGCTTAATCCATCGTCACCCCCACTAATGAATCTATGAAATATGGTTCCCACAACCTCGAGTAGCTGCAGCAGAAAGTCCATGGAAGATGTCTGGACAGACATCAGCCTAGCGTCTCTTTCTCATAACTCCTGCAACACCACCACCGCTGCCGCTCACGACCCTGCTGCCGCTGCTTTTCTCGGCATCGTTTTTCAAGATTTCTTGGCTTCTACTAGTACTATTTCCTCCAACATCGACCCACCACCACCCGCTGCCTCCAGTACTGTTCTGAGCTTAAATTCCGGGACTCGATCTGATCTTGAACAGCGTTTACTTGAAACCACTAGGGCTACCATCACTGATCCTCGTCCGTTGAAGCCAAACCCAAAACTCGACCCACTGGTACTAGTGTTACTACTACTAGGCCTAATTCTTTGGATAATCACTCTTCAGTCTTCCCTTCTTGCTACAAGAAAAGGGCTCTGGATGGTCATGATCAAAATCAAGATGATCATCACAACTCTACCAACGGCGGCCAGCATATGCGCATGATCAAGAATCGAGAGTCCGCTGCTCGCTCCAGAGCACGAAAGCAGGAACCTTTCTGTCCATGTATTTCATTACACATCATGTGCTCTTACATTTCTACTTTTGTTTTGTTTGTTTTGTGAATATGTAGCCTACTTTAGTAATTGTATGCAGGCTTATACAAATGAGTTGGAACTTGAAATTGCACATCTGCGGGAGGAGAATGCCAGGCTCAAGAGACAGCAAGCAAGGATGATGATCCTTTTAGCGTAGAATATTGTCGCTTGTATAAAAATAAATAAATAGGGTGATTGGTTTTTCCTTGATTGCAGTCCTACTTGGCATCCCCTACCCTTGCTCAGCAGCTGCTTCCAAAAAGGCAAACCCTCTTCAGAACCTCAAGGGCTCCATCTTGATCAGTTGAGGCAGCCTCAAACTGCATGAAATAACGACCCGCTCCCTCCTATATGTAAATATATGTTATGCCTTTCTTTTCTCTTCCATTCGCCACCACTTTAAACTTAACCTTATGCTTATAGGAAGAAATTAAACTAGTTTTGTTGAGAATGCAATTCCAATTCCAGAAAGTTAAGGACTTTGCATGTGAGTTGGACTATTCGTCATATTTAATTTTACAGCAAAACCCCAACTTCCTAGACGTTCCGTTAAGCTCAACTTCTCATATGTTAGTATTTTCTTTATCGCATTGTGTTTGTAGCATTATTCTTGTGCGATCGAGGGAGATACGACCTATCGAATGGTAACATGGCTGCAACAATGCTGTAACGTGGGAGTCCTAGAGATCCGTGTCGGCATAGCGATGCATCAGGAGAGAACTTCATTTCCGTTGTCTGTCTTTCTTTGCGGATTTGTGTCTGCATTGCAAAGTACATCCTCGAGCATGCTTGCTTTTAAGGAAGGTCGCGAGCAGACGAGGAACTGTTGGAAAGTGAATCGGATAAACTTTTTGTCAGATGTAGGATCATCAAGGGTTGTGTTCTCTCGAGCTTTAATGAGTAGTTTAATCCGTTAATATATTTAGAGGGAAAGATCTTCAGTCTTTCACTAGGGTGTTAAAGCTGTGATTATCTTAATTACAAGCTTAGTTTTTAAATAAGTATTTTGGATTAGTCATGCCAGCTGGCTGGTAGTGTTTTGGAAAACAATATATGTAACCAATTGTCGTAGTATTGAGGATATTATTGATTGGTAAATATTAGAAAAATATCTCTCTTCTCTCTCTATCTCCTTCTTCCCTCTATCCCTCCATTGACACTGCAGCTTGTAGGTTGAGTTGAGTGATTTGTGAGTAGCTGCATATCATAGGGACAGCTGATATGTCTTCGTAAGAATTTAGGTCTACCACCCTGATTGGGTACTTAGGTTTTTTCACTGCTGACCTCTGGGATTTAAGTAAGGTAGATTTAAGGAAACCGACTTTGCTGTAATGGAATTCTTGCTAAGATTCAGGGAAGCTAATTGCACTATTACGAGAAAACAAAAGTTCAAGCGAAGAAGGCAAGTTGATGATGAATTGTGTGTATACAAAAACGAAAGTCGTGTTTATCTACGACCAACACAAAAAAAAAAAACTTTTATTTAAAGAAACTGTGAGTTTTTAAGATAAAATCTCATATATAAAATCAGTTAAATTTGATACTATCTAAACGTTGACGTTGAACACTTTTATCCTTATTTTGCTTTACCTTTGGACTTCGCCTTCTTAAGCACTTACAAATATTTTCATTAGAAACATTTAAATTGCTTCATGAAAAGCATCTAACAAGTACCTCTTCAAAAAACACTTTTATGATTCATAAATAAATTTTCATTTTTTATAGCAATCGGAGCCACAAAATTTTTGGTTGTCCGAGAACGTTTTTAGTCGTTTCAAAACAAAAATCTCAAACATGCTTCTCTCTCTTTGTTCTGATAAGTTTTTATTTTTATTTTTTATTATTAGCTCGCACGAGGTAGTGGAATTCTTAATCGGAGGAGGGTACAAAGTTTCAGTTGAAAAACGAAGAAGAAAATATAAAGAAAAAGTAGCCAGTGGGAGAACGTAGTGGAGCACTATTGAGTATTTGACATGTTTTGATGAGATGGAGAGTAATCATTGGTGAGCTTTGAGGCTGCAGACTGCAGTGCAGGGGTGTAAATATAGCATAAAGTATAGTCCACAACCATTAGATATGCATGCTTGTCTCCCACGTACCATAAACGCACAAAGGAGCATTACCAAATGTGATATTAATTGTGTGTTTATTCATGCATGCGCAACAAATCAAAATCACCTTTCCTAATTTTGTTTGTATTTTAAGCGAGAGATTTATATGCACCCTCTTTCGAGATCACTCTAACATTTTAGATCAATAATATAATGTAATGTGTAAGTCTCTTTTCACGTGACATTATGTTATTGTTTTTAGAACATCGTCAAAACTTTGTTAAAGTTTTGGACACGGTCGAGTATTCCCCTACTACATTAATACTTTCTCAACTTCACCACCTACACAGTTCGACAACATGTGTTGAGTTGTATTACAAAAAGTATGTGCTATTGATAATGAAACCATCTATTTAAAGGGGATTTAACTTCATGAAGTTTGTGACGCGGGCATATGCTTCATCCTTCTTGCTTGGGCTCTTAGCTAATGACTAAAAAACACATGGAAAATAGTTCATAGTAAAATATGGATTTGGATCCTCTCCTGAGCTAAGTCTGCTGAGCTTCCCGAGCAAATCACATGGGCCGTTGGATTTTGATCTAAAGGCTACAAATAGGGAGTCCCTCTAAAAGTTATAATAATTGTAACCGTTAGATCAAAATTCAACGGCCCGTGTGATTTGCTCAAGAGGCTCAGCAGGCTGAGCTCAAGAGGGGATCCAAATCCGTAAAATATAGCACTCAAATCAGTCCAAAACGCACTTTCCATTTTTTGAATTACTTTAGCCTTACAGTTACCCCCACCCCACAAAATATCATTACAAAAGAGATGGGTGTGTGTGAGTGAGTCACTGCACGGATTCTAGGATTAATTAAGTCCACTGATAAATATGATACAAATATTCGACCAAAATATGATAAATATATGCCAGATTTCTTCAATCCTACTATGCAAGAAATTATCCTTACCATTCAAAGGGCATGCTCATATACATGGGATGGTCGTTCAGTTGATCAGTTGTTTCACATAACTTGTTACCAAAATTTATGTTTAAATTGCTAATAACAGTCGAATGGTGTGCTCTCTAAACTATTTCAAATTACATATTTATTATAACGCGTGAAATAATACACTAAATAACTTATATTTCTGGTATCTAGAAAATTTCTTAGATTAGGGTTAGGAATACTACCACCAATACCACCACCACTGTGTACCAGCCTCCACCACCCAGATATCCAATTACAGATGTACGATGTGTCAATTAATGGAAATCAAATAAGATAATCAAGCAAGATAAGAGCGCACTAATTTGATTAATATGGGTAGGTTTAAAGTCTAGGTTATAGAGATATATCCTACTGATCCCATATATGCAGCCCAAGTAAGATCTTTCTCTTCACCGCCTAAGTACGTAATCCTCCTGTCACCTTTTATCTTCTCTCTATGTGTTTGTGTGTGTGTGTGTGTATATAGCTAGGTTAGCAGAGTATGAAGTGCAAGAACAAGGGAGAGAGAGAGAGAGATCAAAATGCGCATGAAAAACATCTTCGTTTTCACGTCTTCCGGTACTTTTCTCTTGCTCCTGATCATCATCTTGTTTCATGGACCAACTAAAGCAGCTAATGATCATCAGAAAGCCGGGAAAGGGAGTCGGAGAGACCGCCTTTACATCGTGTACATGGGATCTGCAGCCGCCTCATCAACAACTAGTGATGATGATATTTCTTCCCTAAGGGATGATTGTGCTCAGCTCCTCAGTTCTGTCGTAACAAGGTCGGTAATCGATTAATTCCAAGTATATGTATGAATATTGTATAATCAGGCTGTTCATTTATCCATGTACACGTAATACGTAACATGAACATGAAAATATGAACCCCTACCTCTTTAGAATGGAACTAACATTATTAACTTGTGTATCTGTTAATTAATTAGGTTAAGTTGGAACTAGTTAAGCTTCACCCCCTTTCCTAAACTTTCCTACTCTATTTTCGTTAAAATTTTGGTTTCATATGTTTATTGGAAGAAGAAATAGATTCAAGTTGGATAGTTAGTTGAGTTGATAATGATCGTTCTCTTCGCTAACTAAGGTCTAGGTTCGAGCGTCACTGCCGGCAATTCTTTTTTATGGGCAATTTGTAAAATCCAAAGAAAGGAACTTGTATGCACTTCTCCTGGAATGGAGTAGCCTGAATAGTAATTGGATTATATTTTGTGGGTGCAGGAAACCAAATGCAGTGGTGCACACTTACAAGCATGGTTTTTCAGGATTTGCGGCTCGTCTCTCGGATGAAGAGGCGCGATCCATTGCTTCAAAGCCTGGAGTTGTATCTGTTTTTCTAGATCCCATATTGAAACTCCACACTACTCATTCCTGGGATTTCCTCAAGTATCAAACTGCTATAAAAATCGACTCAAATCTTAACTCTAACAACTATGATGCCGTGGACGGAGTTTCGTTAGCTACCGCTGATGGATCTGACACCATTATCGGTATTTTGGACACAGGTAACAAATCGAGATTGTCCTTCTGATAAAATTGGAACAATACAAAGAAAACTAGCACGTTTCAGACGCACATAAATTGACTATGGTTCATAAGTCTAACGGATTAATATCGAAATCATAAATTGAATCTAGGTATATGGCCGGAGTCGGAGAGTTTCAATGACAAAGATATGGGTCCTATTCCGTCACGGTGGAAGGGTACGTGCATGAAATCAGATGATTTCAGTTCCTCCAACTGTAATAGGTAATTTATTAACTCATGATTTAAATGTGTTGCAAACATTGATATATTTTCGTGAAATTATAGGTACTAAACAGTCTTAATTTGTTATTTTATGATGAACGATCAGGAAGTTGATAGGAGCAAGGTTTTATAGCACTCCTGAATCTGATGGCACAGTAGAGATTGATTCCCCAAGGGATACATTGGGACACGGCAGCCATGTGGCCGGAACAGCAGCAGGGACCGCTGTACCAGATGCGTCCTACTATGGCGTAGCAGCTGGGACTGCCATAGGAGGCTCCCCGGGTTCAAGGATCGCCATGTACAAGGTATGCTCGGAAGCAGGTTGTCGTGGCTCCGACATTTTAGCTGCCTTTGACGACGCGATTGCGGACGGGGTGGACGTTCTATCCCTCTCGCTTGGTTCAGCCAGTGGGTTTGAGCCGGAGTTGAGCAACGACCCCATTGCGATTGGAGCGTTCCATGCGGTGGAGCAGGGGATCACCGTGGTCTGCTCTGCCGGGAATGATGGCCCTTACCCTGGAACCGTTGTGAACGCCGCACCTTGGATTTTGACAGTTGGCGCCACCACCATTGACCGAGATTTCGAGTCTGATGTGGTGTTGGGAGGCGGCAAGGTGGTCAAGGGGAGAGGCATAAATTTTTCAGAACTCGAAAAATCGCCCGTGTACCCGTTGATATATTCTCTGTCTGCCCGCAAAGCTAATGCTAATGAACATAGTGCAAGGTAGGAATGCGATTTCCGGCTGCATCCCTAAAATATCGTCTGATTGAATATCTGTGATTCTCCGATCACGTAGCTTCATGTACATTTTTCAGATACTGCGAAGAAAATTCCATGGAAGCAGAAAAGATCAAGGGGAAGATTGTGCTGTGTGACTCCGGTGATTATTCGAGGGAAGGCCAGATTGACACGGTGAAGAGTCTGGGCGGAGTAGGTGTCATTTTTCAAGTAGACAATCCGGGGGTAGTCGCGCGTACATACGCAGAATTTCCGGCAACCGTCCTCAGTTTTAAGGACGGTCAAGAAATCCTATCCTATATCAACTCAACCAGGTAACCCTAACTCTAAAACCAAGCCAAATTTAGCTTCATCAATTGAACATTCCTCTCAAAACTAATCGATTACTTATGCGTCAAGAAACCCAGTTGCAACCGTCCAACCAACAGTGACGGTGATGAAGTATAAACCAGCGCCCACCGTCGTATATTTTTCAGCCAGAGGACCTGCATCCGGTACAAGGAATATTCTCAAGGCAAGCAAGCTGGCTTCTCCTTTCCGATTCCTAATTTCCCAAGAGAAGAGAGTACCCATTTTCCTAATGCAGTTTGTTTGCAGCCTGATATTGCAGCACCTGGTGTGAACATTCTTGCACCATGGTTGGGCAATGATTCGTCTGTCGCTCTCGAAGGAAAGGATCCCCCGCTGTACAACGTCCTCTCGGGGACTTCCATGTCATGTCCCCATGTTTCCGGGATAGCCGCCACAGTCAAAGCTCAAAACCCCGCCTGGGGTCCCTCTGCGATCAGATCAGCGATCATCACCACAGGTCGAGATTCTTGTTTCATAGCACATTTTATACTTCCGAGCTGAAGTTTAAACGAATCTTTCTTTCTCTGCAGCATCTCAAACAGACAATCTGGGAGCCCCAATTACTACAGATAAAAATTCTACAGCCACACCATACGACTACGGTGCAGGAGAAGTGACAACAACAGGACCGTTACAACCAGGGCTGGTTTATGAAACTGGCACCGTCGACTACTTGAACTACCTCTGCTACTACGGCTACAACATATCACAAATTAAAACCATCTCAAAAACTGTTCCAAAAGAATTTGCTTGCCCCAAGGATTCCAATGCTGACTACATATCAAACATCAACTACCCTTCAATAGCAATTTCCAACTTAAATGGAAAAGCGAGCAAGAACGTGACCAGGACGGTTACAAATGTAGCAGGAGATGGAGAAATCATTTTCACCGCTACCGTGGATGCACCTAGCGGTCTAACTGTGAAAGTGATTCCTGATAAACTGCAATTTTCGAAGAACAACCAGAAGCTGACTTACCAAGTGGTTTTCTCTCCCACAACTTCCTCTCCCAAGGAAGATATGTTCGGGTCTGTTACATGGACAAACGCAAAGTATAAAGTCCGAAGTCCATTTGTCCTAGATGTATGAAAACTGACAGGAAGTACTTCAATAAGTCAAGTTGTAACTATCATAGCGATGTGTTGCCTCTGCAATAAACAACATCTGAGCAAGTAATATAGGGTAGAGTCTAATCCAAGAAAATACTGACGCAGACGAAGCTACTGAGAAGATAAAACCCATGAATATCTGCTAAATGAAATGCTAACACAAACATAAAACCCCGCCCTGCTAATCAAATGCAGTCTTCAACACCACAAGAAATCAGGAAATTGGCATGTCATGAAATGACTCCAAATGCTATCACATAAATAAAACCCACAAATATCTGTTAAATCAAAGGATTTTAATGAAAACATAAGCTGACCTCCATAGTCAATATGGAAGCCCCTGCCTTACAACAGAAGCCAATCTTTATATCAATCATCATCATAACCTACTCACTATGGTTTCATCACAATCTGGACAGTTTCTCCAATTGTATAGGAAAAGACTACAAATCTCTAAACCTAACTTAAAATGCATTGATTTAGGTAAAATCTAAGAAATCAGAAGGAATCAGATATTCATTCTGCCCAAACAATCAATCAACTCAGAAGACAAGAATGGAAAAAGAGAAAGCACCACGTGTTTAATATATTATCATAACAAAAGAGAACCATAATATATTATCATAACAAAAGAGAACCACATAACATCATAGATTGCAGGTATAGAAGAGCTAGAAGTGCGGAAAATAACAGATGTCTGCATACAAATAAAGTACTTCACTAAGTCACGAAACGTTTCAGATAACAGATACAAACAGCATTCCACAACCACAGCTCGTAAAGAGCAACAAACCATAAAAACAGGTTCCTTCATCCCCAGGCCCTTCACTCGAAAGCCCATTGGTTCTCCCTGCGGACCTCCTCCTCTTCATCGGGCGTAAAGTCGTTCTTAATGTTGAACGTCTTGCGAATCTCCTCGGGCGTTTTTCCCTTGATCATGTCCGCCACTGTTTGGCAAGTCAGGTCCAGCAAGCTCTTTATGTTCAAATAATTCGCAGCCTATAAACAACACAACTCAATAACATGTTTTCCCAAGTAGTTTTATTATCAACAGGCATAGAGAAATACATAATGGTACAAAGAAACATTGGGCGCGTTTGAAAGCACTTCTACTCATAAGATCTTTTGCTAGAGATAAGTCAAAATTATTCTAAATCCAAGCGCTTCAGAAGCACTTGGGAGAAAGCACTTCCTATCACCCAGAAGCACTTATAAATTTTTTTCAGCCAGACAGGCCTGTTGTAATCTAGTGGTCATCAAGTGATTCCTGGTTAGTAAACGTATCAGCACAAATCGTAATTAAAAAAAATTAACTAATTAGACAAACAAACCCATGAATTTAATTCCCCTAAAAATTTCGAAAAACGTCAAGACTTGCAATCAGATATCAGATAATCAGAAACCCTAAGGTAATTAAGCAGTAAAGTAACCGAATCGCAACAGCAAATCGATAAAAGGAGGAATAAAGAAACAGACCAGGATGAGATCGAAGAGCGTGGCCTGGTCGACCTTGACGAATTCGGCGTCCCAAGCCTTGAGCTCTTCATCGACGGAGGCGCGTTCTTCGGGCTTAGCGGGCTCGACATGCTTCCGGCAGTACTCGATGACCTTCGCCAAGATCTTGCTGGTGACGTTGGGCAGCGGGATCCCGTTGTCGGCACAATCGTCCTCCACCATGTGCTTTATCGTCTGAGACATCAAAGCCACCGCCTCGTCCACCTCGAACGTCTCGCCGTCCGAGCTCTTCAGAGTTATCTTCCTCTCTGACGACATCGTTTCGTTGATGCCTTAACCCTAGAAACCCAGAGAAGAGAGAGAGACGATATCGGGATTTGATAGAGAAGAAACAAAAAGTAATTTTATAAGAAGCCCGACGACTAGCTTCCCACTCTGTTAATATTTTAATAATTTTCAGAAAAATTAAAAAAAATAAAAGAGAGATTTTATTTTTATTTTTTTTTAAAGGAAAGAATTAGAGCCAAATATGTTTTTTAGAGCGATAGCGTTAGTGGTAATTAGTTATTACGGAAAATTGGTGAAAATCGAATTCACGTCGAGGTGTGTAGGTATGATTACCTTCCACATGCAGTAAAAAACCATATAAGTTCTGATGGCAATGCCATAAATTTCATGATCGGAATAGTTTTAGTATCCACATGTTAGTAACGAAGTCCGAAATTGAAGTAATTTTACCTATCATTTCACGTAAATAAACATGTCATTTTAGCTTTATGACACATGACATGCATGTGACGTTATTTTGAACCGTGACGCGCAACAGAATTATTGTCATGTGAGTTTTTAGGTCAAATCGAACGTTTAATTTGGGTTCAACAAATCAAATGTTTGGATGGTAAAATGTCAGCAAAACTAAGTCCAACGTCACAGAGGCCGAAACTCCGGATAGCGCACAAGTTTGCTGCTCTTCAAGTAAATTCATAGGGTCAAAGATCTACGTCTCATGAAATGTTGACATGATCAACAGCCCCAAGTGCTTCATCTATAGAGCCACCTCGATTAGTCAATGAAACATCATATGCAGGTGTTCTCTAAAACATAATTTCCCTCTTCCACATAAACAATAACTATGATCAAGACTAACGACATAGGATCGGTGTCTGGCATACAGATTTGCACGTCTTCAACCGCGAGCTAAACAAACGACCTGCAACTTGATCGTTTTCTCAATCAAAGAGACCAGTTTGACCGCAGCATAAAGGCGGTCATTTTGGCATTCCCATCCCTTATATATGCAACCCCTGGCTTTACATTGAACCTCTTACCCAAGTTAAATTTGAAGTACGATTCAGCCTGAAAACGGTCCCATAAGTTTGGACCTGCAAGTATCCCATTTAAACCTATTCCCCATCCAACTGAATCTTCCGAATCATCAGCAACGGTCACCGCCCATTCTAAATGCTTGGGATTCGACTGCTTCATCTCAATCCAACCCCCAAGCTTTGTGAACTCATCGATTTCTGATTCCAACATCAGAGCAACAGATCCAGTTGACCCATTGTCCTGTGAATTTGTTCCTAGGGGTGGAACAAGGGCTTCAACCATTGTCTCGGGGGAGGTGTGCTGTGTCAAACTGCCCTCAACCGTTGGCTCAGGGGGCTTGTGACGCACCAAACTGCTTAAAGGAATCGTAAGAACTCCAATTCTATGCTCACCACGTTCACTAGATAACTTAGGTATTTGGTGCAAACCAAGAAGCGAGAGCTTTGTTCCTCCGGGAAGTTGATAGACAATTTGCCCAAAAGTGCTCAAGCAGCGCCCAACTCTACCTGAACCTGCTTGCATTGCCAGTCCGGAAACAAACTGAGCCAATGAGGCAACAACATTTGATTTTTTCACCATTAAACCAATTGCACTGCCATTGTGTTGATTTAGAAGAGGTGGCCCAAATGATGAAAGATCAGTAAGGCCCTTTCCCTGCCATGAGAAAACCATAACAAGACTGATCCAACACCAAAATATGTAAAACTTACAGGCATGATTGCCACAAAATAAACACTCTTACGAGTCTTACCAATAAACTTAAACCGAAAAAATTCACCGACTAGGATAAACACCGAGAAAGTAAAATGCAAATTATTTACAGCGTTAAATGTTCTTTAAGCAAACAGATACAATCATTAGGTAGATATTATCTTGTGAGTCATGACATTAATATTATCAAATAAGCACATGAAAAACAGTCCAATTTCCACTCATGCATACATATCTTATCAGAAAGAAAAGGCAAAGGAATACAGGAAACAATCTAGGCAACCATTGACATCAATGTGAGCATGTAATACCTGGTGAGATGGACTAGTAAGAACCGCAACATCCCTGCACCGAGCTCCCACTGGGATTGCAATTGCAGATAACCAGTTGCTAACATTTGCCGTATAGGAAACTTTTGCTAGAGAAAGTGGGCATTCTGAAAGATCAGAAAGACTAGTCTTGTGCTTTTGACCGGCCACAAATTCTGCAACAAGCGTATCATTCTCCCGAACAGTAGTTTCAAAAGCAAACTTTGAATCGACCCCAGTTCTCATTCCAGCTCGAGTAAGAGCATCAGAGCTGTGATCAGCCTCATCCTCACTATTAAGCACGAATAAGAAAGCACCCAAGAGATCAACCTCTCCCCTTACAAGGGTGCTGGCTTCTTGGAATGGACTTCCCCTGGATGTTCCATACAAGGAAACCATTCTCTCAACCTTATCTTGTCTATCCCTCAGTCTCATCAAATCCGAAAACGCTTCTCGTTGCAACCGCTTCAATATTTCAATCTGAAAATCCCATATCATAGACGTGTTCAAAAGTTTATTGCTTTATTAGTCATCTATATAATCTGAATAAAAACTTGTTTCGGAATGCTTCTGAAGTTGCCAAAAAGTGCTTTCATATAACCAAAAGAGCTTTTAGCGGTGTTTGGCAGGCAGAAAAGAAACTAAAACAGCGTCTGGGTTATAGAAGCACTTAGAAGTGCATTCTGGAGAAGCACCTTGAATTTTGAATTTCCTCCAATAAAAGCACTTCTAGCAGAACATTTCTCACTCTTGGGTGCTCTAGTATTTCAAATCAAATTACCATCAGCTTAGCTTAAGGTTGGTTATTAACTAATTAAATCTGATTAAGCAAAACCCAAAACGAATTAAGACGTGAAAATATATGTGACAAAAAGAAATAAAAGAGAAATTTTGGAGCTACCGGATGTCGACGAGCTGAAGGCCGAGGGCGTCCATGAACGACGCTGTCGAACATCTCCTGGGTCGATTTCGTGAAACCTCGTATCTTGTCTGCAACAAAATCTACGGTTACCATTTTAGAAACCCTACTAACAGCTACTGACCCAGACAACGGAGAATTACTGGAAGTGGTTTTTCGGAAACTCCGAGGGTTTTCTACATACAGAAATTGCTGGGATTTCAAAGTCCAGACTCAACGCGAGAGCGGCAAGCCGGCAAACATTTGGTCCACTTTTCTCATTTGCTTTCTTCGTCTTCTTTTTCCTTTTGCTTAAAATAAAAACAATAGGGCTGGGCCTGGCCTTGCCAAGCTGAATTTTCTTTGGTCCGAGTTGAAAAGTTCGCAATTTGACCCCTAAAGTTAGTCATTCTATAGTGTTTGTATATATTTAATATCAAAAGTCTCTTAAATCGAAATGTTATTTACTGACTGAATTTGAAAACTTTGTGATTTGGAGTCAAATTTGACATCAATGTCAAATGTATTTTTAATTCATTTTAATGGTGGATCCCTTATTCCATTAACATTTCAACCAATGGAAATTTTGTTTCAACATTTTTTTAATAATTACAACCATTTTAAGCTTTATTTGAAATAATAAAATAACATTTGATAATTCGGTTAAAAAAGTACAAAATTTGACATAAGACTTTAGATTATCACATCAACCATCAATTGTAGTTTGTCTGTTATAATTTGACATTTCCTTTAGAAATGGTCTAACAAAACTCACTAATGTTGTTGTTTGTTTCAAAAAAAAAATTTCAACTTTTTACATATTATTCTTTAATAATTTCAAGAACATTGGGTAAAATGTTTTGGGGAAAAAAAAACAAGCGCCTAAGGAGTTTTTATCTATCTGCAGCAGAAAATGGAACGTTTAAATTCGAAGGACTTTTTGCGGTCAGGGATTTCATATCTTGACACTGGAAACAAGAATCTTCCCAACCTAGTTTTTCGTTCGGGGATTCATAAGAAATACAATCCAAATGGGATAAAGAAATACAATCTGTGCATCTAAACATGTTTTTGATATGTACTTATGTGAATAATTTCAAGAAGCTATGTACTGTTGGAATTTTTGGATTGGCGGGCTCGGAGACCTTCTCTAACGACATCGATAATGTTCCTAACTTGATAATTATCGCTTGCCCAATCTGTCAGGTGTGGGTCTCACATGGAACCTACTTCCTTCCTTTAGTAGTTCACACGTGAAGATCCACACATCGGCAATTAAAACTCAGAGGTCGGCTCCAATAAAGTCGAGACTTGTTGGCAATTGAAACTTAGAGGTCGGCTCCAATGGAGTCGAGACTTGTTTTCAATCCTTCCAAGAGATGCTTCTCAAAAACTCAGAGGCCGGCTCTATGTTAAGAGTCGAAGCTTGTTTCCAAGCCCACACTTCTTGGTAACAAGCCCTTGGCTTGTACATGCTCATAACTGTAGACTATTATACAATGTAAGAATTTTTAGATCAACGGGCCCAGGGGGCCCACTCTAACGACACAGATATTGTTCCCAACTTGATAATTACTACCTACCTAATCCGTCAGGTATTAGATTTTACCATAAAAGGCCTCAATATTAATTAGAGTAGGGTAATCCTATTTAAAATCATCATTGTTGACTTCCCCCATGACGTGAGATAGCCAACGTGTACAACTTCTCGTTTCTCTTGTTAATGTGTTTGATTTCTTAGGTTGTCGCATACAACAAAACCATGTTGACCAAAATCATAAAGAAACACTTTGACATAAAATAAAATAAAACTATGAGAAACACACAACACTTTGATTAAATAAGTCTAGAACGAATAAATTTCTCAAATCGTTACTCGAAGCAGGGAATTTGAAGGGTTTTATTAATTTATAAGGATAATGAGTTTTCTCAGAAGAAGCGGCTGGCATATTTGTCGAGCATCTGATTCACAACGATCTTGTACGCTCTTTCGGTAGGATGGTAGCTGTCCCAAAAAAAATACTTAGAGTCATCTGTGCAGACCCCGGCAGGTTGGAGCTGGTTGCACAGTTTTGTTACTTCAATAAGGCCAGTACCACAACAACCCTTGTTCACAACTTCAAACCCTGCCGGCATGGATCACAACAAACATATAAATCTTTACTAATTTGTAAGAAATGTAGTGGAGCTAGCTAGGCAGATCAAATGAAACTTCATACCGTGTTTAGCAGGGTTTGTGATGAGATCAAATATCATATTGTACATGTCAACGTAGGCAACTCTCGAGTTTGACAGGTTTTTCTGAAGGCGGTCCATCTCCGCAGAGAGCTTGGAGTTGAACAGCTGGGATGCTTGATTTTGTGCTTCGTCACAATCTCTTCCTATGCCTCCTTTTACTGTTCGTTGAGATGGCACACATCCAATTGGTGGTATGCTTAGTACGGCTATTCTTCGTACCCCCAAGCCATACAAGTCCTACAAAATTCATAACTTTGCTACATCAACAAAATTGTGAAAAGATGTACTTTTTTCATTTTTAGCAATCTGTATCAAGAAAATATGCACCTTAATGAAATCAGAGGCATATTTGACCATGAAATCAGTGTAAGCAGGAACGTCATACTCCAATTTCCTAGCACCGCTAAGAAAATAGGTATTAGAAATATCGTTGCTGCCGGCTACCACAAAAATCACACTATTTTTTATGATGAAGTTTGTTTTCTCCTCTCCAACAATTCCTTTCAGCTTTTCTATGTATTCCTTGAACTGCTTCAATTGGTCGGATAGCGATGCAACTGCCTACACAATCGAATTCCAGAATTAATGGTGGAAAAAAAATAAAATTAACAAAAGAATCAAGGATTAGAGCTCAAATATATAAGTTGTACCGCAAGTTTTGCTGTCAAAGGGTCATAACCTGCGCCACCGGCAGCTATGACAACACCGGTAAGGAGGTCATTAGGCTGCAGGGTCGGATCCAAATATGCTGGCAACAGCTCCTTGATTCCAAATGATTCCGCTGGACATGAAAAAAAAATCATAATAAAGTAGGGTTAATTGAACATTTTATTGTATGAGGATATGTGTTTGAATTTCTGGGATAAAATTAAGCGAAACCTATAATATTCTAGGATATTTAACATAAAACTAGGAGTTACCGCACGGTTTTTAATCGGTTTACGGAGTTCGACAAACACCAAGGCCAGAGTGGCTAGGGTTGCAAAGTTGATTCCTAAACTATTTATAATGATTATACCAATTAGTAATGTTTTACGAGTATTTAATGATTGATGATGGTGATGACAACCTATGAAGTCTGAGGGAACCTTTCCGTTGGAATATCTGCCGGTTGGCATTCCTCCCTTGAGGTCTTTTCCGTAGGGAAGGAAATTGCTGCGTGCATATGTCTTGAAGTTTTCGTTGTTGTTGCCGGTATCAACAATCGAATCTCCGAATATAATAATAGCCGGCACGGTCACATTCTCCGGCAGCTTGACTGTCGCGGCTGCCTCAGTGACGTTATTCATACTAATAATATTGCAGAAGAAAATCACGAAAATTACATATGACGACTGCATCTGCAGCCTGACCAGTTTAGGACTAAACATTCCTAGTCCTCCTGCATCTGCGTGCATTCTGGAATATGATATCCCCAAGAACACAAAAAAATGGTCGAAAAGATATGAGCATAAACTTGCGGGTCTTTAGTTTCCGATTGTTTCCTGTGCATTTATATATACGTATAGATGGCATTCGTTTATTAACAACAAAAACAGGAGAGAGATCGCTCCTTCTAGACATGCATATGTAGCTGTTCTAACTTTTTCAACATGCAATAAATATTTTAGTTGGTTGGTTTAGCCATCTATACTGTCAAACCAATCAACGCTTTAGATAACAAGTAACATTTTCATGAACCGTCTATTTATTTGATGCATATGAATGGCTGAATCATCTTCAAAGTAAATATTTTTTTCTTTAGCAAATATGATCTTTTGGCGATGCTAAAAAGAATGAACGGTTGCGATTATAATTCTTGTATAGTAAAGATACATTAATTGTAACTATTGGACAAGTAAACACAAGCATTATCCTATAACTAATAAGATAAGAATTTTCATTTTCTCCCGTTGATATTTTCTACATTAGAGAACAATGTTAATGAGTATTTCCACAACTTTTATGTCTCATGCATCAATTCATGCATAATGTCATTTTTATTATTTTAAAAGATACGATATTGTATATAACTGAGAAACTGAGAGAAAGCAAACTATAGGTTATGTTTTGGTGAGTGATTTTCAAGTTTTAAAGAAATTTATGTCAAGTGAGAAAAAAATACTCTACAAATAAGCTTTAGATATACAAAGGATTGGAAATGCACTACATAATTATTATAAGGTTTTTAGCCAAAATAGTTTCTGAGATTTGAAATCAATAGAAGTAGTCCCTGAGTTTGTCCACCATCAATCATTTTGATCATTCTATAAAAATTATATTCAATAAGAACCTAAATGACAAAAATACCCTCAATTTAATAAACAATAGGCCAAATGATTTGACAAAAATAGAGGGTATTTTTGTCATTTTAGCCTTATTTAATGGAGATTTTTCATGGAATGACCAAAATGATTGATGGTGGACAAACTCAGGGACTACTTTTATTAATTTTAAATCTCAGAGACCAAAGTGAAGAGTTATATAAATCTCAATGATCATTTTAGCTAAAATGCCCCATTACAAAGGTGTATAAAAGAGATTTGCAAGTGACAGTTACCAAGTAGGGACTTACAAACTTACCAAGTAGGGACTTACAAATCCATCTCACATGCAAACTCAATTTGGGGAGGACTTCCACAAATTAAGGGACTGTAACAGTACTTGTTTTATATAAGTCATTAGATAGAACACCCCATCCCATGGGGAGCCCTACCAGCTACCACCCACCATGCCAAACATTAGATAATATTAATTACAATTCTCAAATAAAACATGACGCATGCACATGTGATTAAAGTAATGCTATTTTACGTGTTGATAGCCGTCAATTGAAGAGTGAGCTCGGAGGTCCTACGGATGCTCAACCACCACGATGACTCTTAATTGTTTGATATTAAAGTTGTTTGACGAGGATCCACTTGATATACCATTCATATATATCAAATCAATCAATATTGCACATGTCTCTTAATTATTTTCTACTTTGGAGCATGCAAGGCATCTGCATGCAAATTGTATGGTGCGGGTCTAGCATGTGAATATGATGAAGTTGGAAGTTGACTTGTAGCTAAATGAGGACCG